CGACAACGACCCGAAGCACAAGTTGCGTATCGTACAGGAGTGGCTTAGAGAGCAAGATTTTGGGGTGCTAGAGTGGCCGTCTTCCTCACCCGACCTCAACCCAATGGAACATTTATGGCTCATCTCAAGAGGCAGCCGGCCAAGCCTTATAAGCCTCCCACTGGTATGCTGGACCTTTGGGAGCGGGTGCAGGAGGAATGGGAGAAGATCCCGGCGGATGTGTGTACCCACCTGGTGGAAAGCATGCCCAGGAGGGTGAGGACGGTGATTAAGGCGAAAGGGCGGTGGATTAGGTACTAGTTTGGGGTTGATGTAACTTGCGCCTTGCGCCTGGCAGGTCCATATGTACCAAGATTGTTATTTTCTGGTATTTGTTGTAAACATAATTATACTTGTGTGATGTAAGGCATGGGCGTAGAGCCTTACCCCAACCTACATACACTAGGCACACCAGAAGGTTAAGGCTTAATGTCCATGACCCCCTAAAATGGCAAAATTCCTCTAAGTCACAAACATGTGGACAATACTTTCCGTCAGTGTACGTTGGATCCGCCGCAGGTCCGCCGTATGTCTGCCATGAACCCGATCCTCCTTTTTCTGCTGTGGGGAGCCCCTCCGCATCGCTCTTAAGAATCCAAGACTCCCTTTCTTTCAAGTCAGATTCGGCCCATCGAGTCTCGAATGGCATGCTGCGGCCGTCACTTCGCATTGCAACTCGTGGCATGGCGTAGTCTTGATCTGCATGGCTTGTTAGACTGGATCCGCCATCGCCATAGCAGCAGCGGCAGCTCCCATGCAGACCCGCCACGATATGTGCATGTGGGCGTCACTATGAGCGTGTTTTTCAGGCAACAATCTTAGGCCACGAGTGACACGTGTCAGCAAGGCATGAGGAATTCCCTCGGGCCCAAGTCAGTCCGTCCACTCTGAGCGTGTTGGGCTGAGAACTGCCCTATGATATTTTCCAAAAAAAATGAAGTCCTTATAAAAGTGTGCTTGATAGCATAGCGAAAGTCTTGATGAACCCTTGTACTGGTATGTGAGGACAAATGATTGATTATAGTAAAGGGATACAATGGTTTATATAATAATTCAAGAGAATATGAAGAGTCTAATCGATTGTCCTCTTCAAGGGGTACATTCCCTTTACGACTCGACAAGGGCGACTCGAGTAACCAACCGTACTGTAATACTAGGACGCTTATTTGTCCTTGCTGTCGTGCTGACTTGACTCTTGTGCTTCTGACTGTTGGGTTTGCGGGGGTCAACAATCTGCGACCGTTGCCTTTTCGTAACCTCTGTGAGGTGTCTTCAACCTGCGTCAACCGTCGGAAGTACTATTGTAGGATTTGACTCGTCAGTCCCTCGATGTTGTGGTCTTCGCGTATGGTTACAGCACTTGAGACTCCTGAAATGCGCTAAGTCCTTTTTATAATTTCCAACAGAGCGTGTGCTCGTCACGGCAGCCATCTCGCATGGCCTGCTGCTCTGCCTCCATGGCATCTCACTGTCGCACACCGTCGCATGATGGCTGTTGTGGCAGACACCCCAGACTGCTCGGTCATGCTCTCTGTTGTCCTGTCGCATGTTGCACATGTTGCATGTCGTCACAAGCCGCATGCCGCATGTCGCACGCATGCCGTCTGCATGGTTTCCATCTTCTTGCATGTCTTCACATGCCATGTCATCGCATGCTATCACATGTCGCCGTGCCCTGCCCTTATCGCCATGCGGCACTCTGTAAGTTGTTGTCCCTTAAACCTTCCCTCATCGCATCGCCTCCACACCGCTGCTTCCCTAGCTGAGCGACCAGTCCAGAGGGCAGGGGTAAGTGCGCAGCAGCTCGTGACCCACAAACGTGCGCGGCGGGACATGCCCTTAATTCATCAGAGTCGTCTTTCGTGACATTTTCAGCTCACAATCTCGCTCATCGTAATTCTGCCTAGTCAGTTTGTCAAGAACTGGTTGCGAAGGGAGTGTAGAGCAAGGAGAGTTTCTGAGGGTGGGGTGTGAGCAGCTGACTTCAAAACCATCATGCCTCTGCCACTGCATGGTTCTTGCGTCGACAATCACAACTACCTTGTGCTCTCGTGTCCGACAATCGCACAAAGGGCAATCAAGGAGGAGGAGGAGGTTAAGCAAGGAGAGGGTGGTTCGGAGGGAGGGGAGTGAGGAGAGTGTGAGGAAGCAAAGGACGGTGGAGGTAAGGATGAGCGTCAGAGAGCAGACGCTGGCAAATCTTCTCCTGAGTTTGACAGTGCTTACTGATGAGATGCCCAGTTGCAGGCGACTGGTTATGTTGAGCTCGGCTTGTATGGCCATCTATGGTGAAGTGGCACCACCACTGGAGTCAGCATTGGAGTCATTGACTCCAGCGACACCACTGGTATGATTTGCGACAGCTGTGCATTGCTACGCAGGGAGGGAAAACCTGTTTCAGGGCAACCGCAGCGGCTCAATCCCCTTCCACAGCGGAAGACACATGTAATCCGAGCTCTGATTCATTCCGTTAACTAACACACAGAAACACATTTATCGGCTGCCTAGGGTTTCCAACCAGGTTCCGTTGTACTGGAGGATGAGCAGCAGCACCTGGAGAGAGTGTGACTGACAGTCCAGAGGAGCTTGGACGAAGCAGCACTCTGCAAGCAATCGCTTGGAGTGCTGCTGCGACCAAGCTTCTACCGCACCCAGGGTCCAACTAGGATAGTGATGACATGGGCATAACTAAATGATTATGCATGTGTGGGCAGGTGTCCTGGGACAAGCGCTGCGATGAAGCACGTGAAGGATGGAAATGGATGGGGCAGAACTAGGTGTCTTATGATGGTTGCTCCGGTGCTGCACGTGAGGCTTCGCCCCTTCAACGCCTCATGCCTCCGCCCATACCACCATCCATGCCTCCGCCCATACCACCATCCATACCTCCGTCCATACCACCGTCCATGCCTCCGCCCATATCCCCATCCATGCCTCCGCCCATGCTCCCCCCAGGACTCATGGCTCCTTCTGATCCGGGAGCAGATGACCCAGGTCCGCCCATGCTGCCCCCAGGTCCGCCCATGCTGCTCCCAGGTCCGCCCATGCTGCCCCCAGGTCCGCCCATGCTGCTCCCAGGTCCGCCCATGCTGCCCCCAGGTCCGCCCATGCTTCCCCCAGGTCCGCCCGTGCTGCCCCCAGGTCCGCCCATGCTGCCCCCAGGTCCGCCCGTGCTGCCCCCAGGTCCGCCCATGCTGCCCCCAGGTCCGCCCATACCTCCTCCAACCCTGCCGCCCATCCCAGATCCGCCCTGTCCGGGTGCTGCCTGCGACCCTGGAGCAAATGACCCCGAGCCGTCCCTGCCTCCACCCATGCCCCCCCTCCCATCCTCCGCTGTCCATTCCACCACCGCCCGTCCCTACGCCGCCCATCCCACCACCGCCCATCCCTCCGCCGCCCATCCCACCGCGGCCCATCCCTCCGCCACCCATCCCTCCGCCACCCATCCCTCCGCCACCCATCCCTCCGCCGCCCATTCCTCTGCCCATCCCAGGTCCGCCCTGTCGGGGTGTTGCCTGCGACCCTGGAGCAAACGACCCCGAGCCACCCCCTCCCATTTCACCTCCGCCCATCCCGCCTTCTCCCATTCCGCCACCGCCCATTCCGCCGCCGCCCATTCCGCCGCCTCCCATTCCGCCGCCGCCCATTCCGCTGCTTCCCATTCCGACGCTGCCCATTCCGCCTCCCCCCATTCCGCCGCCGCCCATTCCGCTGCTTCCCATTCCGACGCTGCCCATTCCGCCTCCCCCCATTCCGCCGCCGCCCATTCCGCCGCCACTCATTCCGCCACCTCCCGTTCCGCCGCCGCCCATTCCGCCGCCTCCCGTTCCGCCCGCCGCCCTTTCCGCCGCCTCCCATTGCGCCGCCGCCCATCCCGACGCCTCCCATTCCGCCGCCTTCCATTCCGCCGCCTCCCATTCCGCCGCCTCCCGTTCCGCCGCCGCCCATTCCTCCTCCGCCCATTCCGCTGCCGCCGCCACCTCCCATTCCGCGGTCGCCCATTCCGTCGCCACCCATTCCGCCGCCTCCAACTCCGCCGCCCTGCTGCTGCTGGTGCTGGCCGGTCGAGCTTCCGCCTTGCGCCTTTCCGCGCATCATTCCGCGCAGCTTGTCCACACGGAGCCCCGCGGAGAAGCGAAAGGCCAACGTGGCGTGGAGAGATGAGAACAGGACGAGGGAGAGGAGAAGTACCGTGCTCAGGCTACGTCGGCGAGGCTGACTCCGCGAAAATATAACTCTCTGCCCCATGGCGCTTGTGCTGCTGATGAAGCTGAAAGTCTCTCAGTTGTGGAGCGAGAAGGCCTAGATTCCTGGATGATGTGTGTCACTGCTATTTTCAGGCAGGAGGAATGTGTGTTTTTATGAAATGTTGAAGGAATTGCCACGTTTTGTACCCTCACCGCGTCGCGAGTCTATTCGCAATTTCACGAATGGCGATCGCACCGCGCGCTGACTCAGATGTAAAGATTGGATCAATGGTGCGGGGGATTCACACGGATAGAGGCACCGTCGAGTCAATGGAATACAGGATTCAAGTCAGCTTTCCGTTGACCATGCTGCTTCAGCGAAAAGTGAAGACCGTAATATCTCCGGTTGAGGCATCTCCGTTCCGAGAAACATTTACACTCACGAAAATAATGCTTCTTGTGATATTATGACCGCATTTACGGCCTTAACCACAAGCGAAGCACTCTGTTGCCAAACCTCGGTTTCGGCAGGGGAACATTTCGTGGTGAGGTGGCACGGTCAGGGCCAGATGTAAGCACGGGGCTCTCCACCCGTAATCTGACGTGCCTCCTGTTTTCGGGAGCCAATCCCAGGGCGAAGTCTCCAGGTTGCGTGCGTGAACGGATGAACGGATCACTGTGTATCATCCCGCCGACTCTGTGGCAGGCCAACCCGACTCACGGAAAGGCTTGTACTCCCTCTCACTCCTGTCGGCTCCCTCACCTTTCCAACTCTTCCTCCCTGTCCCCGCCGTCTTCGTTGCCAGTTCGTTCGTCTGTCCGCTCGATCCGTCGTACTGCGCTCCGTCGCCAAGCCGTCGCATTCCTTATTCTGGAATTCGAGGGCGCGGCGGCCACTAATTGCGGAGACAGCTGGCCCATTTGAAAAGAACTGACGGACGAAATGGCGGCGATTCAGCAGCTGCTGTCAGGCGCCTTGGGAGCTCCGTGCTCGTTACAGTCACAGCTGGCAGGTAACAAGGAGCATTTTCCAAAACCTTCCGGCCGTTGTTCCGATTATGTGAGAACAAGACCCGCTTTCGTGGAAATTCCAAAATCGGACTGCCGGTCTCCCCCCTCGCTCGCTGCGCTACAATCCAGACTCCACGTCATTTGAAATCCCGCTTTCTTCTCGTCTCTCGACTCGACCATTTCGCAGGTGATGCCGTGCCTCTCCGCTCCCACGCGAAGCCTTCGAGAGCAGCGTTGACGCGCTCCGTCTCCTCCCAGCAACAAGGTTCCGCGTCCGCGTCCGCGTCAGCATCTCTGTCGGCTGCCGCACCGGCTGCATCATCGCATGCGGGCCGCCGTGGGAAGTCGCTTCGTTGCAGAGCGCAGGCAGCGGGCGGAGAGGCAGGTGAGGGCCGGGAGTGGTTACGGCTGGTTACCACCTGTCAAGGTGTAGCTGTCTCCATACATGTGCAGCTCTGGAAATGATATAATGATCGAGCAGCTCTTCAGCGTCTGTCGCATGGGCGGGTTATCGCGTTTAGCCGCGCGCTTCAACAGTTACGCGCGTCTCACGCACGGCTTCAAGCTCAGCGGTCGCTGGAATGAAGCTACTGAGACGCCTCAGGGGAAAAGCGTAGCGTGCAAGGTACACTGTAATCCCGTTCCTCTGCACGAGCTGTTGCCGGGAGACCCCTCGAGGAGTTGCACTGTAGTCCCTGAACGGCGATGATCGATGTGCGAATATCGTGTTAGTTGTACGGACGGAGAGCAGAAGAAAAGCCGAGGCTGATCCAAACATCCGACAGGGGCAGCAATCCCTTCACGGAACTCACGCTAACTGAATTACATGACATTCCTTCCCTTTGCTCGCAAACACTTTGTACTGTCGCGATGCCCTCCCTTCCCCCTCTCCCTCCTCTCCCGCTGTCCCCACCTTCCCCCTCTCCCCCCTCTCCGTTTCAACTTCAGCCCACTCCCCCAGCCAGCAAGCAGTGCGGGGCGGGGCGCTGGGTCAACTCGGGCAATTCCTGGACCCGGACTTGGGAGCGGACATCATGTCGTGTGGCAATCCCCTCCCCGCATACCCCCCTCAAC